CACCAGCAGGGCAAAGGAGATTAAGAGACCTCTTGCAGCAACAAATTAATGGCGTGTTTTTCCACTTGTCAGGATGCGTTGTGAGCAATTTTAGTTCGACTTTTATACAGAAAACGCTAGAAATTCCGTCAAGGTTAAAAATAATACAATCTTATGTTGGAGAACCCAGAAACATGCCAATAATGACTACTACATTTTTCCAAAACATCTAAAAGTGCCCCTACACAAAAATCGGACAGCGTTTCGTCATTTTTATTTTTCGTTGCTAACATTTTGTCAATTTCATGTTTTAAGAACAATTCCAGCACGTTTCCGAAATAGATGAAGAAATACCGCCAAACGGTATTCAGAACATCAACGATGAAATAGTACAAACCTACACTGATGTAAGTAACTTCAGTTAAACTATTGTCTCAGCTGGCTATGGGCCGTATTAGCTATTAACGTTGCTCGTACACACGCGTAATACCGCACAACTTGTAACAAACCTGGAACAGGCTTGTATAGCAATGGTGTTACAACAATTTGTTAACATGGTCAGGGGCGGACTGGCTACCTCAAGGGGGCCCGGGCGACTTGGCTAGATGGGGGCCCTGACCCCCCTAAAAAAATTCCCTTATCATATTTTAATTTTTAGTAGGCAGTACTAGGCACTTCTATCATTAGTCATAGATCTGCAAAAATGTCATTGTTTTATAAAAGTAACTTACGCAAATAAATTATAAATGAAATATGAATTTATGTTCTTAAAGGGTATAAACAACAAAAAATTCTATTGCTTCATCTGAAAGAGCATGAAAAAATAAGCCGATTGGCCGTTTAATGCTCTATTCTATCTCATCTGGTTCTTAAGTTTTACGCAAAAATGTGCAAAATATAAATTGCTGATTCAGCACAACGTGTGACGTCATTAGCTGGGTAAGTATGTTTATTGAATAGTAAACTGAAGCATAGCTCAGTTATTATTGGCTCAAATCAAATGAAATTTTGCATAGGCAACAACAGTCGTTCCCAGGCCCCTTACACTGATTTTGAATAACTAGTTGCATTTATCTATATGTATGTCATTTTCGAATTATTATCAAGCAAGTAAACTTTTGGCACGCATAGGTATGGTATACATACTTCTGATACTATTTTATTCTTATAAGTACCATGAATAAAGCTGTTTTATAAAATTGGCGCAAGGGCCTGGGAACGACATTGTTACCTTGGCAACAAAATTAGAAGTGTTTTTCAATGCGCCTCATCATGTACAATCAGTATGCAAAATTTCATTTACTTTGAGCCAATAATAACTGAGCTATGCTTCAGTTTACTATTCAATAAACATACTTACCCAGCTAATGACGTCACACGTTGTGCTGAATCAGCAACTTATATTTTGCACATTTTTGCGTATAACTTTGGAACTAGATGAGATAGAATAGAGCATTAAACGGCCATCGGCTTATTTTTTCATGCTCTTTCAGAGGAAGCAATAAAATTTTTTGTTGCTCATACCCTTTAACGTCAAAATAGAGAAAGGAAATTATTGTCTACTCTTCAATGTTTTCATGGCGTAAGGAGCCGTCTCAGTGCTAAGGAACTGTTGGCAAACTGGTTGATGATATGTTCATTTGATATGTCATTGATCATCTGTTTATGCATGTACTCAGCATAAGTGCCTCTATTTTTTCCTGCCCAATGTTGCTTCTTAATATAAATTTAAGCGTCAAGAAACGTCTTTCGCAGTCGACTTGCGTTACACTAAGCGGTACTAAATACTGATAAGCTGCACATAGTTCGGAATACGTAGATAAGTTGAGACCATAATTTAGTATCCATAAAAGCGTTTGAAATCGCAGCTGAACCATGACCTGCAAGACTTGTTTCTGCATACAGCTGCATGAAATGGTTCAACATGCATGATTTCCAATCTTTTCACAAAGACTCTCTAATGCATTTTGAGGCAGCCTCTGTCTTCTGCGTTCATCAAATTGGCAAGGGTCCAAACAGGAAAAATCTTGGTAAAGTCCTTGTGGTTCTCAAATCTACTATTGGTGCTGGTTACAATTTGATCCATTACGACATTGAAAACGTTCACTTGATAGTCCTTGTGAGCATGCATACATTGCCCTATTGTCAGTACCATCCTTTTCGTCACCGAAATGTAATTTCCTTTTTCTAATTCTTTTTGTCGGTTTGGATAGTAGACTTTCTTCTACTGCAACATCGGTATCAAAGCAAACCCGTTTGCTCTTGGCTTTCTTTGCGAACTGCATGTGACAATATTCAGGACAGTTAGAAAATCTCTCGGCTGATAATTTCAAGTTTTCCCGTAGCAGATTGAAACATTCTCAATGCTTGAAGAAGATTTAAGCCTCACGTTTGAAGGCATATAGTGGTGTTGTAATTGAAAAGTTGCCCAGTTGCCAAGATTTCAAAGCTAAATTTTAGGCAGACTGATTGCGCGGGCCGCGGGCCCTATAAGATACTAACATGCAGTGTCGCCCCATCAATTTTTTCAGTATATAACTAACTTTATATTGCTTTAAATTGCAAATTTGCGCACTGACCCGAGAATATCTTCGAGTTAATCACGTTTCTATTTTAAAGAAAAATACTAGGGAGAAAAGATCGCAGGGGCCCTTAGTCGGGCGAGAAAAGTGGTTGAAGCGTGCCTCCTGCTTTTCATGCTTATGATTTGGAGCTTCTAGCCATTTATTTAAATTAAGCCAATTTGAAGGGGCCCAAAACGGCCTTACAAGCAAGGGGCACACCGGGCATTTGCCTGGTGAGCCCGACCGGCCAGTCCGCCCCTGAACATGGTGTGTTCGCACTACTTGTTCCCAGCTTGTTGACAAGTTATTGCAGGTCTGCAGCAGACTTAATTGCTACAATGTTTTTCATTATGTAGACTTATTACAAGGTTGTTGCAACAACTTATGACCGTTCTGCAATTCAACAACTTTGTAACAAGTTTAGCCAATTTGTCACAACCTGTTCGCTTACCAATGAAAAGATATGCATAATTTGTTTGTTAAGTGTAATCATGAAACCACTACCATCAATGTACGAAGATCAAACGAAACCTCAACGACCCAAGAATTGAAAGAACGAGAAGTGCACACGGGTAATTATTATTACTTGTAAGGTACATTTCCCTTCCGAGTATATACACTATAATCCTATTTTCTTTTCTATCAATGTAAGTTGATATCAGAGACAGTGATTCTTCGCACTCGAATGACTCAATTGGCATGGTGAAGATTGTTCAGAAGAAGTCATCGGTAATATTTGTTTTCCATGCAATTTTTAACGTTTATATACGGGTAGAAACCTTAATATTATATTAAGTATTATTTAATTTTTTACATTATTACAGGATATTGAGAGCAGAGGAATGCCACCAACCGATAACTGTAATTTAAGTAGCAACATAGAAAACAGGTAATTGTTACAGCGCTATTCAATCCTTTTACTGTGGATTCACTATTTTCAATTCTAAACACTTAATTTCAAGAACCATGTATATAACCAGCCTCGTACCCAGGCGCTTTGGTTTGTTTACGTCATTAAGCGCACGTGGGACGGCACGAGAGGGAGAAAAATGGAAAATTCGGCGGGAAGCGCCTGGCAGAATTCGCATTCAAAATGGCGGGTCAGTGTTCTGCAAGTGGCTGTATTATTTATATTATTATTGAAATGACATTGTTTACAGCAAAATACGGGTTCGTACATTGCCATTACTCTCAAGAGTGCAATATTTAACTTAAACTTTTAATAGTTTGCCTTGTTCATACTGTTTTAATATTAACTATGCAGTCACTACAGCTAGTGTCATGATTTTGCCGTTGTTGACTTGTTGTTCAATATCAGTTCTATATCACGCATTGTAGTTATCGTATTAACCTCAAAATTTGTATTTGAGATACAAAATTTGATTTATTTGTCAAGATTTGTATAATTTAGAGCCATATGGTTCGAATATAGCCATATATAGTAATTAGTAATATAGGTATATTTTGACCTTGGCTAGGCCAGGTGTTGTCGTGCGGATATATCGCTTTTTATTACTTGCCAATTCATGTTTTATTTGCAAATCACTGGTTATTTTGAACCTAGTTATATTTCTCGTCATTTTAATCATTCTCATCATGTTTTAAATCCAGTATATTAAACGTAAATGACTGTACTACACTCTACAGGACAACACGAATATCTATTGTTGTGACTGTCTACAAATATAAACTGTTTGCCGCCGCCTATATATAGGCCGCCGCGTTCGTTGAGAGTTTGAGCCTCTTGAGATCGGTATTCTGATGCCTTTCGTCATATTGCAATGAAATTTCTGTGACATATTCAATCCAGAAAGCGACTGAAACAACGAATGCTACGTAGATTCACTCCAAAACGAATTTACACTAGGCTGTTTGATAATATAATTATATAGTATTTTAATATACCCGACTTTGTGTAGTTTAAATAAGTACGATATTCG